TGATGTCTATGCGTTCCAGACTTCAGGCTGTAATTGACTGCAAAGGAGTTGCAACCAAGTATTAAAAAGTGAAAGTTTGATTTATGATTATTATTCTGTCCCATTACTTTTGGTCCCCTAACAAGTGGGAGGCACATATGCAAACTGTTGTAATTCCTACACCGTTCACCTGATTTGGATGTAAATACCCTCAAATTAAAGTTGACAGTCTGCAGTTAAAGCACATCTTGTTTGTTTCATTTCAAATCCATTGTGGTGGTGTATAGAGCCAAAAATGTTAGAATTGTGTCGATGTCCCCCAATATTTATGGACCTGACTGTATGTCCAGAACACAGGTATTCTGCATTCCAGCCATACATCCCTAGAAACACATACTACTCAGTACAGAGTTCAGCCCGTGCAGTCACATTGTATTTAAGCCTACCACAGACTTGGGGCTGGATGCTGCATCTGTGCCTCTGCCTCTCAATCACATTAAAACACAGGTATGGAATGTAGAGGGGAAAGACAACCCCATGTGCAAGTAATCCAAGATACAGAAGTTTCCCATTCTTTATAACAGTTATGTCCAATATATGCCCCAGCAGGTCAGTGAAGAAGGATGCTAGGAAAGCAGACACAACCACATTCTTCCACTTCACCTTGTGCTGAAATAGAGATCCTCTGGGTAAATAAAGCAGAGCCAAATATGAATCTATCCACCAACACGGAGATGGCAATCTCTGTCATGTTATGTGAACTGTACAGGAAGGAATCTGCAAAACTTCAACTGTATACAAACCCTAATGTTATCTCTGTCGCCATCGACACAGGAAGTAATAGAACATATGACACTGTAACAACAACAAAAACGCCAAACAATACTGTAATGTAAATAAAGATTTTCATAATTTACTGTACAAATTGAGCTACATGTACTTACCTGTGATCTTCCTACATGGGCTTCCTACACTTACTGGCCACTAATAGAAGTTAAACTGCCAGCAGAAGTGAGTGACATCTCGAACAAAATGTAGCAAATGTTTGCCTGTACCAGATCCCACGGTACTTTTGCAGCGAGTTTCCAAAAGCAGTGCATGCATTACTTTTGATGCAGTGCAATTTGAGCCCGTTCAAAACGAATGGGATAAAATCACACCACATTGAACTGCATGTGAATTTCACCGGAAAATGTAGCGAATTCTTGTGCGACTCCTAGTGTGAATCGACCCTATATTCTATGACACAGATTTACGATGACCTGTTAGTAGGCACTGCTGTGTCACAGAGTTCACAAAACCTGCCTTCTGAACTACAGAGGTGCTGAGAAGAGGAGTTTCAGGAGGCGGAGTCAGCACAAGAATCACTGCTTGCAGGCAGCAAGGTACCATGGGACACATAGTCCTTAGAAATTGAAAGTGAACAGCAGAGAAGCTGCAAAGCATTCAGGGAATCCAGGAAGATGTAGAAACAGATGTCCAGCAGACAGGCAGAACTCACAACATGAAAGGGGGATTTTTCAAGTAAGTTTATATTGGATTGCCAAATACATATAACCAATGTTTGTATTGTTATAATGCGGATGTACAGTATATAATTATATATAATGAAAGTGTATGCTGTGACCATAGATTTCCTTTAAGGGCTTTTTCACACCACAATTTCAGCATTCTGGATGTGTTTTTTGTATACACATTTACGTTGGATGTATTTTTGATATTTTTTAATGCAGTCCAGTAAATTTTTTTCCCTTTTTTATTTTGACACTTGAAAAGTTTTCATTAGGACAATGTGCATTCTGATGCATTTACACTCATTTTGATGCATTCTGGACAAAAAACAAAATGCAGCAGGTTGTACTTTTGTTGAAAGCAATGGAAATTACTTTTGTGAACTAGGGCCCCTGGAATGCATAGCAAACACTGCAATGCATGCAGATGCGATTTAAAATGTACCAGAAAGCATATGGTGTGAACCAGCCCTCAAGGAGGAATAAAATATGCAAAAAAATTGAAAATAAGTGATGAGAAAAAAAAAAAAAAAAAAAAAAACATTTATGTGAAAGAATTTTAGCCGTTTCTTTTCAACAAGAATTTTTCAAATAGGTGTATTTTATTCCTGGCCAAGTACATGACTCCATGAATGACCCCATATAAAAGAGCACAACCCCCTTCCCATCATTCCCCCCTTCTCCCTGGATGCCTGGTCACATGTAGAGGCAAGAGCCTGGGATCCTGTGCAACTCCTGAACCAGTTATGACAGAGTCAGCTTCCCTCCTAATTAGCCGGAGTGCCCCGAGTCAGAGGTCAGACACACCACTAAACCCCGGGGACTGCCAGAACATCTGCTGCACAGAGCAAACGTAATCATATCTTAAAGAAAATGTTAATTCTTTGAATGCATTTGTAAATAAGAACAATTGGTCTTGGAAAATCTGCAATTCAATAAACAAACAAGATCCTAAATGAACTCTGCTGAGCAACATCTATATCTACACTGAGCACACATTCTGTGAAAGATGGTCCGTAAACCTCACACTGATTGGAGGCGGTGGGCACAGATACAAATCTCTTACAGCATCAGATCTGGGGGTCTCATGACAAGAAAAGGAGGTAAAAATGCTGTCTGTCTAAAGCGGCTCATTGTTTTATAATAACCCCCTGTCTTTACATTAGAGCAGAGCTGGCTGAAGCACCACAGACAAATCAAAGCATAACTTAAAGCACAACTGTTGCCAAGCAATGAACATTCAAATATTTACACATTCTTAACAAGCAGTAAATAAACTTTAAAACAAGCCTTTACTGACCCCTAAAATAGACAGCCATCGTAGAGCAAATCATCCATAAAGCTTTAACTGTTATTACTCTATGGCAGTCAAGCTGGTTATAATGTAGCATATGTGTAGGTCTATTTTTTATGAGGATGCATTATTGCTGCAGCTCTATATCAAGTTGCTCTATGCCAGCAGGAGAGTGGGACCAATGCTGTCAATCAGAACAGCATTCTCCGTCTCTCCAGGGGTCCTACCCAACACCTGCACAATGCTCCAATCAACAATGTGCATTCTCCCAGAGTAGCATGCTCTTTCTGTGGGAGCAGCACTTTCAAACTCCAACAGGCTGCCAGCACAGTGTTACTTAAAGTAGTTGTAAACCCCATGTTCCATAATACCAAAGACTAACATATGTCTATAGTCCAGGGGCAGACTGACCATTTGAAAACTCGGGCACTGCCGGAAGGCTCGGGGTCAGTAGGGGGCCCCATGAGATCCCCCTAGTACCTTTTTCATAGGCGTTTTTGAGTTTGGGCAAGGACACAGGGGCCCCATGATCCCCTATTGCCCAGGGGCCCCATGAGTTGTCAGTCTGCCCCTGCTATAGTCTGTACCATAGTGAAGTAGATCACATTATTTGTACTTTGGTATTTCACTGTTTTTCTGTTACAGTGTGCTGAATATCTCCGTTTCTACAGGAGTGTCAACAGCCTGGAGCTCGCCAGGCAGAGTCGTGACATCACTGGACCCCCTTCCCAGCTGTATACTCCCCCACAATTCTTCCTGGCTCAGTATAGTCATGCGCACAGAGGAATGGCTATGGGAGACACGCCCCCTTGTCTCAGGCTCATCCATGGAGCATGCTAATTCATTCTGTTAGTCACAGGAAAGGGGGTGTGGCGACACCTTTTTTTTCCATGTGTCAGATTGTTTCACAGTAGGAAACTGGGGAGGATTTTAGATGACTGGATACTGCTTTCCAAGCCAGACTAGGGACACATGACTTCTGCTGCTTTGCTGAGTGAGGTAGACTGTTCATTTTCTTTTAGATTTTTAGGATTTACAACCACTTCAATATAGGGCTGCAGCAATAATACATCATGTTAAAAGAAAAAAAACTACACGTTACATTTTAGTCAGCCTGACAGCATTATGGAGATAGAAGTTTGGCAGCCAATTAGGGAAGCCGATTCCTCTGAATGAGATTTCTAAAAACGCACCAAAAAAGGACATGCCCTATTTTTTGTAGCACTACACATCACAATGCACAGCAATGGATTGCTGTGTTGTGGTGTGCTGCAACATAGGTGCATTGGAAAAGTGCTTTGGGGAGCCATTAACCACTTCCAGTCCGGACACTTTTACCCCCTTCCTGACCAGGGCAATTTTCAGCTTTCAGCGCTATCACACTTTGAATGACAATTGCGCGGTCATGCAACACTTTTTTTGAGACAGATAAAACTTTATTTTGGTGGTATTTATTCACTGCTGGGATTTTTATTTTTTTTTGCTATGTAAATGAAAATGTCCAAAAATTTTTAAAAAAAGTGTTTTTCTTATAAAATTTTACAAATAATATTTAATCATAAATCTTGGCCAAAATTTATTCCATTATCTTTTTAGTAAAAAAAAAAAAAATAATAAGCCAAATTAGTTTATAACCAAAAATTATAATTTTTTAAACATTTTTTTTTACATTTTCATTTTTTTTTATATTATTTATATATATATATTTTTTTTTACATACTGTCACCCTAGCAGTACATGGTGACACTGTACTACTTTTGGGGGGTAATGAAGATTTTTTTTTTTACACGGATTGCTTTTACACCCATATAGGATGTAAAAGCAATCATTTCTCTCTCTGTCTGCATTCCTGCAGCCATTGAGTTGGCCTCCCCTCTGATGATGTGCACTGGCACGAAAGGCCTTAGGAGGAGCCAACAGAGCGTGACGTCTTAGCCGCCCGGAGCCACGAGGAGGCCCGGTGGCCATCTTACTTTTGGGTCAGTCACACTTTTTATTCCCTGGCACTTTTTTGGCTCCTTTTGGAGCTAATTCCAGGATATCCTATTACCTACCATTGCCACCGGAGGGAGTTTCATACCTATAAGGCAGTGGTTCTCAACCTTTCTAATGCCGCGACCCCTTAATACAGTTCCTCATGTTGTGGTGACCCCCAACCATAAAATTATTTTCGTTGCTACTTCATAACTGTAATTTTGCAGTGGGAGGACTAGTGCCACATCATTGGTGTCAGTGGGGGGAATGGTGCCCCATCGTTGGTGTCAGTGGGGGGAATGGTGCCCCATCGTTGGTGTCAGTGGGGGGGAATGGTGCCCCATCGTTGGTGTCAGTGGGGGGAATGGTGCCCCATCGTTGGTGTCAGTGGGGGGGAATGGTGCCCCATCGTTGGTGTCAGTGGGGGGGAATGGTGCCCCATCGTTGGTGTCAGTGGGGGGGAATGGTGCCCCATCGTTGGTGTCAGTGGGGGGGAATGGTGCCCCATCGTTGGTGTCAGTGGGGGGGAATGGTGCCCCATCGTTGGTGTCAGTGGGGGGAATGGTGCCCCATCGTTGGTGTCAGTGGGGGGAATGGTGCCCCATCGTTGGTGTCAGTGGGGGGAATGGTGCCCCATCGTTGGTGTCAGTGGGGGGAATGGTGCCCCATCGTTGGTGTCAGTGGGGGGAATGGTGCCCCATCGTTGGTGTCAGTGGGGGGAATGGTGCCCCGTCGTTGGTGTCAGTGGGGGGAATGGTGCCCCATCGTTGGTGTCAGTGGGGGGAATGGTGCCCCATCGTTGGTGTCAGTGGGGGGAATGGTGCCCCATCATTGGTGTCAGTGGGAGGAATAGTGCCCCATCATTGGTGTCAGTGGGAGCAATAGTGCCCCATCATTGGTGTCAGTGGGAGCAATAGTGCCCCATCATTGGTGTCAGTGGGAGGAATAGTGCCCCATCATTGGTGTCAGTGGGAGGAATAGTGCCCCATCATTGGTGTCAGTGGGAGGAATAGTGCCCCATCATTGATGTCAGTGTGGTGGAGGGGGAAATAGTGCCCCATCTTTGGGGTCAGGGGGGGGAATAGTGCCCCATCGTTGGTGTCGGTGGGGGGAGGAATAGTGCCCCATCATTGGTGTCAGTGGGGGGAATAGTGCCCCATCATTGGTGTCAGTGGGGGGAATAGTGCCCCATCATTGGTGTCAGTGGGAGGAATAGTGCCCCATCATTGGTATCAGTGGGAGGAATAGTGCCCCATCATTGGTGTCAGTGGGAGGAATAGTGCCCCATCATTGGTGTCAGTGGGAGGAATAGTGCCCCATCATTGATGTCAGTGTGGTGGAGGGGGAAATCGTGCCCCATCTTTGGGGTCAGGGGGGAATAGTGCCCCATCGTTGGTGTCGGTGGGGGGAGGAATAGTGCCCCATTCTTGGTGTCAGTGGGGGGGAGGAATAGTGCCCCATCGTTGGTGTCAGTGGGGGGGAGGAATAGTGCCCCATCGTTGGTGTCAGTGGGGGGGAGGAATAGTGCCCCATCGTTGGTGTCAGTGGGGGGGAGGAATAGTGCCCCATCATTGGTGTCAGTGCGGGGGGGGGAGGAAATAGTGCCCCATCATTGGTGTCAGTGGGAGAAATAGTGCCCCATTGTTGGTATTAGTCACACAAATGATGGGGCACTATTCCTCCCACTGACACCAATGATACTTACCTTGCTGACCCCTGCTCCAGCCTGGGCTCGCTCTCTCACTTACCTGTCAGCTGTCTTCCTTCTCTGGCCGCTCTCCTCTTCACTTACTCCGGCAGTTCCCTTGATCTTCTTAGATCTACGCGCGCTGCCGCTCGGCTCCTCCTCTCCAAGCTCCAAGCTCGCCGGTGATTGGCCGCCTGTGTGCCTCTCCTGAGCTACAGTTCCGGTGGCCAATCAGCGGCGAGGAGGCGGAGTTGTTGAGGGATCCCGGAGGTGTGGCCAGGTGACAGGGCAGCGTGTCATCCCGCCCACACATCGACTGAGTCAGAGGAGCGGTGTCTCGGTTCCTAAGACCATCGGAAATATGTGTTTTCCGATGGTCTTAGGCGACCCCTGGGAAATGGTCGTTCGACCCCCAAAGGGGTCGCGACCCCCAGGTTGAGAACCGCTGCTATAAGGAAAGGTTTAATCAGCCCAGAGGGGACTCCTGGATCTGGAAACTGCTTACTACGTACCAATTAGAGGGAGCATCAGGATCATCTGTGCCCAGATGGATATCTACTCTCCCCACAAGATGAGGGATTTCCGGTGGTCTTATATCTTATGCGCATATCCTTAGCGCGTGTGGCGAGTGCGCAATTTTACCATTTGATCCTGACATATTCAGCTTTCACACACAGGATCCTGCGCTGCGACATCTTGTCTGGACATTATGTTTTTTCACCTGATGTAATAGTCACCACTTTTTGCTCTGTGTTATTTATCACAGTTTGTGTCATATACCTTACTGTGCTTTTCAGATCATCTGAAGATTTTATTTATTTATTTATTTTCTTATTTATTAGCGCCGCACTTTTCTATTTATGTATATTTTCTGAAGGTTTGCTGAGATTACCTTATGTGCTTTGGCTGCTGATTGGAGAGCGCTCACGTTTTATGTTTTTAGACATTGAGAACTACTGAGTGAGCTGTGATTGGTCACAGCTTGTCACATGGTACAAGGCTGTTGTGAATAGCCTTGTACCATGTGAACTCTGTGATCATTCAGAGATTTCACACGTAGTAAGCAATGATGTCAGAAGTGACATCTTGCTTACTACTTTGCATGTGATCACTGATTGGACAATCAGTGATCACATGATCGGGACCTCGTACAGAGGTCCCGTCTGATGATCGGTGTTTCACTGTGTCCGGAGGATAAGCGGCCACCCGACCCTGCAGTGCCACCGTCCGGCTGTTTATATACAACGGCCGGTCTGGAAGTGGTTAATGACAGCGCACCAACACACAGACTGCACAGCACAACAGTATGAACCTAGCCTTAAAGCGATGTTAAGCCCAAAACCAAAAGTGTAATTTATTACAGCTTACAATTATTAGATGTAATGGCTGTATTAGTTTTGTTATAGGCTTTGCCCCTTAATTTTTACCTGGTGATCTGGCCAGTAATACACCTTCTGTATTAGAGTGCCCCCACTCTGGATGAATGAGTACAGGGGCACCTTTGGCAGCAGCATTTTCGATCTGAGGGGAGAGCCGTGTTAGATGTATTAGCAGATTTAAATATACTAACAAATTGAGGCTGAACTCCAGCTAATACTTTATAATCGCCCCTGATGACGTCAATTGGATGACAAAATGCGCTGGGTGGAGCTTCAGTGTGTGACGTCACCATTGGCAGCATTGGGGAGAAGAGTGCGTGGGAACACTTTTCTAACTTTTTTGACTGATTGAATCCCCAATTCCATTACTGGTGGTCACATGTGAAGTCCACAGACATGGGATGGTCACCTGGTTTGGACCATGGCAAGATTACATTGGTGGGAAATTAGCTATTACTCTACAAATGTTTCTGTTTACTGTATGTTAAAGCAGATGCAAGCCCAACCACTAAAATATTATATAATCTTTCATATGCTAAGGTAATTTCAAAAGTAATTTTTAAATCTTTCTAAATCTGCAGTTTTCTTTAAAATAATACCTGGTGATACTGCATGAGGTTCCTTATTCAGATGCTTCCTGTTATAAAGGTGACAACATTCTGTCCCCGTCTCCTAGTTCCTCTCCTAAATTGTCAAGCCCATCAAAAGCACATCCAGAGGGGGTTATAAGGGGATTTGCAAAGGCTCATTGCACAAGTTCAGCTGTTTACACCGTGTTCCAAATTATTATGCAAATGATATTTTTCTCATTTAATAATTGATGTAATTCTCATGTTATCAACTATTAAGAGTACAATTCAAATTTTATTCAACAAACCTCCTAACAACAGTATTTTTTTTTTAAACATAAAAAAACTTACAATGCACGGCTCCAAATTATTACGCACAGTAAGTTTCAAAACACTTTATAGGTTGTAAAGAACTGAAAATTGTCATTTGTTGTGTTTGCAGCATATTTACTGAAATCAAAAGCTATTTCAATCAAACTTTTAACAACATTTTAACTTTTTAAACATTTGAACAGGTCACGTTACATTTAAACATATGACCCCTTATTTGATAGCAGCTTCACAAGTCTTGCATCCATTGAACTTGTGAGTTTTTGGACAGTTTCTGCTTGGATTTGTTTGCAAGATGTCAGAATAGTCTCCCAGAGCTGCTGTTTGGATGTAAACTGCCTCCCACCCTCATAGATCTTTTGCTTGAGGATGCTCCAAAGGTTCTCAATAGGATTGAGGTCAGGGGAGGATGGAGGCCACACCATGACGCTCTCGCCTTTTATCCCCATAACAGCCATTGATGCAGAAGTATTCTTTGCAGCATGAGATGGTGCATTGTCATGCATGAAGATGATTTTATTATGGAAAGCATAGTTCTTCCGTCTGTACCAGGGAAGAAAGTGGTCAGTCAAACTCCACATACTTTGCAGAGGTCATCTTTACATCTTCGGGGGCTCTAAAGGGGCCGAATCCACTCTGTACCCATGATTCCGGCCCAAAACATGACTCCACCATCGCCTTGCTGACGTCGCAGCCTTGTTGGAACAGGGTGGCCGTCCACCAACCATCCACTACTCTACCCATCTGGACCATCCAGGGTTGCACGGCACTCATCAGTGAACAGGACTGTTTGAAAATTAGTCTTCATGTATTTTTCTGCCCAATGCAGCCATTTCTGCTTGTGAGCATTGGTTAGTGGTGGCTGAATAGAAGGTTTATGCACAGTTGCAAGACTCTGGAGGACTCTACACCTTGATGTCCGTGGGACTCCAGAGGCACCAGCAGCTTCAAATATCTGCTTGCTGCTATGTAATGGTATTTTAGCAGCTGCTCTCTTGATCCAATGCATGGATATGGCAGAAATCTTCCTCAATGTGCCTTTATCTGCACCAGCCCGTCTGTGCTTTGAATCAGCCACAAATCTCTTAATAGTGCGATGATCACGCTTAGGTTTTCATGAAATATCTAATGTTTTCATACCTCGTCCAAGGCATTGAACTATTTCACTCTTTTCGGCAGCAGAGGGATCCTTTTTCTTCCCCATATTGCTTGAAAATGGTGCTCTACTTAATAATGTGGAACACTGTCCTTTAGTAGTTTTTCCTTAAATTGGGCTCACCAGCCAATCTAATTATCACAGATGTCCGAGATTGTTTTCAGTGATCAAAAGAGCCCTGACACACAATGCCATCCATGAGTTAAACTGAAAAACAAAATATTTCATCTTTGTGACACTTAAATAGAATTTGCATAATAATTTGGAACGCAGTGTAGATTATTAAGAAACCAGGACATACAGTAATTGATTTCTCTCATCTTTGCAAGAAGATCCCTCACATCTCTTACCTGATACAGTATATAGTTTGAAATAAATTAGAAGTCTGTTGTCTTCTGTAATGTCTCCAATAATCTATTACTATAACATTTTATGAGGCTAAAACAAAAATTACAACCAAAATAACTTATCAGCTATTATAATACTAATAAGCATCTTTTGATTTGAATACTCCTAATTACTGAGTTAACCCTTGTGCGGCCATATTTTTGTGGTGATTGCTGAACTTTCTGCATGTCCCAGCAACCAGAGATGTTCATCAAGAGTGGAGTGTTGTTCTGTTCCCCCGCCAGGCTGGCGGTTACTCGTGCTGCAACCATAAAGGATCTGACAGTGTAGAATCTGATTAATACAGACATCTCTATGGAGAGAGAAAAAAAAGGCCATTTAAAATCTTCCTGCCAGGCAGACGATGATAACTCTGACTTGTGAACTTGTGTCTGCCAGCTTTATCTCTCACCAAAATGTAGCCAAGATGCAACACAGCTGCACTGTAACTGACATGGAACTACAAGTTGCAGCATGACAGGATATCTTGGGAGTTGCATTTCCA